CTATTTGTCTACTATTTGTATTCCACTGCTATTCCAACTGGCAGCGGCACTCTAGGGTTTCAGAGAGAGGAAGTCAGGCTACGTTGGAGTCCTTTTAACCGGAGGTGGCAGAATTTGAACCTGGGACCTTTCTGATTGCGAAGCAGGTGCCTTGCCACACAGCTAGGCCCTTTCCCCAACTATTCTTTTTTTTTTTTTTTTGCAATCTCTTTTCCTGACTACAGGCAGAGAGAGAGAGAAATTTCACATCTGCTGCACTTCAAAGAGAGAACTTCTAGTTCTCATGAGACCTGCAATAAAAATTTCAACACTGCTAACTGCAGGGTCTGTTGTCTGTGGTTACCGCAACAACATTTCCCTCAACCACCCCCCAGGAACGTCTCCCGAAGTAATAAATGAATTGCCACGAGCATTTCTGCCAGGGAAGGAGAGAAATCCAGCGAGTTGCTCTGGTCAAAACCTTTCCCGTGAAGCCCTAAAGCCAGTCTTCGTACACACCATGCATTTAAAGCACACCCACCCGCTCAGAATCCTTGGAACTGCAATCTCCCCCTCAGATCTATGATTCCAAGAACTTTCAACCAAGTACAGCTCTCAGGATTATTATTATTTAATGTACGAGGTGGAATTTAGTGTCACACTATTACAAACATTCCGTCTGCGCAAGCGATGCAGTTCAACAGAAAGAACAATCCCCAGCTTTCCTCCCCCGGCTGTATGCTATTCTGGGTCCCCCCCCCAAAAAAAAAACTCCTTGAGCTATGTTGGGGGTCAAAAGGGGAGAAGGGGGGAAGCCCCATTCCGCAAGGGGAAGTCCTTACGCAGGGCTTCTGCACTTCTGCCCATGGTGTGTACACGGCCCAAGAACTTGACATGTTGGATAAGGTAAAGGTAAAGGGACCCCTGACCATTAGGTCCAGTCGTGACCGACTCTGGGGTTGCGGCGCTCATCTCGCTTTACTGGCCGAGGGAGCAGGCGTACAGCTCCCGGGTCATGTGGCCAGCATGACTAAGCCGCTTCTGGCGAACCAGAGCAGCGCACGGAAACGCCGTTTACCTTCCCGCCAGACCTATTTATCTACTTGCACTTTGCCGTGCTTTCGAACTGCTAAGTTGGCAGGAGCAGGGACTGAGCAACGGGAGCTCACCCCGTGACAGGGATTCGAACCGCCGACCTTCTGATCGGCAAGTCCTAGGCTCTGTGGTTTAACCCACAGCACCACCTGCGTCCCTGACATGTTGGATACTGATCCACAAAAGAGATTTAAGCCCTACTATTTCAGTTGCACTGGATCCTGTCCGTCCCCCATCGCCTCCACACACAATGAAGTCGGAGGATGTAACACTCCTGGGCACAGCTTGTATAGAATCATAGAATAGTTGGAATAGACCACAAGGGCCATCGAGTCCAACCCCCTGCCAAGCAGGAAACACCATCAGATCAAGTTTGAACCACTCCTAGAAAATCTCAGGGGCCACAAACACTGCCACTTTAGTTCTTCCTTCCAAAGGTGTCTGAAGCCTTGGGTGCTCAAGGAATGCTGGATCCAGCACTGAAACTTTCTTTGCCTATTGTTCCAGCAAGACAATAATAGAGGCAGCTGCCAAACATGTGTTGCCCAGGAGAACTCCCAACGCTCTGCTTAGGAGCAAGGCTACAGTGCTAACCAAGATCACTTGGGCAAACGTCTCTCTGTCTTGCCAGCCTGCCTCTCCCGCGATTGAATCACTGCTGGAGCAGAATGCAGCGAAATTCTTGTTTAGTGATGCTTACAAACAAGATATAGGCATGCATATCTCTCTCCCTGCTTCCCTGCCTCTCTTGGCCTCCCAGTTCCCGTCTCTTGGCAACCAACAAATAATTTCTGACATTCATTGCCATATATACACTGCATGCAACCCCAGTAGTTTCTCGGCTGACAAAACCCGATGCCCAAGAACTGGAACGCTGACTGCTTAGACTGCAAGGCACACATGCATGAAGAGTCCCATATTCCATAGTGCATGAAGACAAAGCACACAAGAGTTGGAAAAAGCTTTCACCCACACACCAGCTTTCCCGCATACATAGCTGAAGCTAAATGTGCACAGATATCCCCACATTTTGCACAGATACGAGGAAATCTGGTCCATCTAGTCTAGCCTTCTGTTTCCAAGTGGAGGCATCCAGAAGCTCACAAGGTAGGCATAAAGACAACAACCATCCCATGCATAAGGCATTCCAAGATATACTGCTCCTGTATGTGGAGGTCTGATCGAACTGTCGAGATGAATGTAGACTGTAGACCTCTTCACTTATATGCACTGAGTACACAGACATGTGCAATGATGGCAAGGGTCAGTTTCTAGCCTCCTTGTTTGATAAGTCAACTAGAAGATTAAGACTACTTTGATGTACGTTTCCTCCTCTTATTGCACTAGGTAAAGGTAAAGGGATCCCTGACCATTAGGTCCAGTTGTGACCGACTCTGGGGTTGCAACGCTCATCTCGCTTTATTGGCCGAGGGAGCCGGCGTACAGCTTCTGGGTCATGTGGCCAGCATGACTAAGCCGCTTCTGGCAAACCAGAGCAGCGCACAGAAACACCGTTTACCTTCCCGCCAGAGTGGTACCTATTTATCTACTTGCACTTTGACGTGCTTTCAAACTGCTAGGTTGGCAGGAGCAGGGACCAAGTAACGGGAGCTCACCCCGTCACGGGGATTCGAACCACCAACCTTCTGATCGGCAAGTTCTAGGCTCTGTGGTTTAACCCACAGTGCCACCCATGTCCCTCTTATTACACTACCCATTCTATAATTCATTCTGGCTATACCCAAACATTGCTGCCCCATGTTTTTGGACCACAACCTACGTCATCCCCAGCTAACACGGCCATTGGTCAGAGAAAAGAGATGCAGCTCACTAACTTCTAGGGAGCTATGGTTGGGTCCGAGTTCTCCGAACTGGCACAGAGCTATTTCTCTTTTCCACAGAGCACCTAGCAAACAGTGGAAAATTCCTCCTTATTTTAGTGCAGATTTACATGACCGCAAAATTCAGTATTCGGAGAGTGCAGTGGGGAAGCTGCGCAGAGTCTGCTTCTCAGATCAGTTCTGTGAATGCACATCTAGGCCATCTGCAGGTGACTGCAGTCGGGAAATGCTTCAGCTCAGAAAACGCCACGCTGAATTCAACAAGGTTCATGCTATCACCATCCTCAATGGGGAGAACAACCCCCTCCCCGAACCGAGCCTTAAAGAAAAAGTGGAAACCCACACACAACTCTTTTTTCCCTGAGCTATTAAGAACAAGAGCAAATATTCCTTATTTGAAAGCAGCACCCTACACTTGTGCACCCAAAACGGGCATTTGAATGTGAAAAAAGCAATTTGTTTCAACAACACACACAGAGGTGGTGAAGTCGTTATTGTGACAACACAACCTCTCACACCAATAAATCTGTAACATCAATGCAGTTGGCAAAACCCAGAGCTGGAAGGCTTCCTTGTGGGGGTGGGGAGGTTTGGAAAAAAAGCATCAGATTTGCAGAGGACAGGGGGAAAAAGATTAAATATTAATTATTCTTGGCAAAGAAAAAAAGACAATGCGTTGTCCCATAAAACCAGAAGCCTTCCCAAGGTCACACACACACACACACACACACACAGCACCCAACATGCACTTTCTGAAAAACACAGTGCTGAAAAAAAGAAAAAGGAATGGCATCAATCATTAAACAGTTAAATGAAGGTAGTATGACAGTTGCTATTGTTCTCTAGCAGCACACTTGTCTTTTCCAGAGCAGCTGCCAGATCCTATTAGATGCATAAAAAGAGGATGTTCTGGACCGGGGAGGAATGGGATATGCTATTGAAAACAGCAGACAATGGCTTGCTTCTGTAGGCTCCTCAAGCCCCGTATAACATCTGTCCAGAATCAATTTCTGACCTAATGTTCCTTTCATTGACTATTAAGACTTTGCAGCTTGTCTTCTGAGCCAGGACTGTTACACAGAGCACAAAGCAATGAGGCAACTACATGCAGCAAATTCAAATTAACGCTATGCAAAAAATAAAAACCCACCAAAAAAAAAGACCTTGCTTAGGTTGTACGAAGTTTATCCAGCATGAGGACATTCACAAACTCAGAAATGCCATGCTCCTGCACAGCCCCCATTCATTTCAGCAGAGCCTGTGCAGGAGAACTTCCCAGTGCAATGTATCCCATGGGGGAATTAAAGATTGGAGAAACGTACTATGGAACAGCTTCCGACTCTTCGGGTAGGACAAAGGGACTGAAGAAATGGGATACAGTGGTACCTTGGTACTCGAACGGCTTGGCTCCTGAACAAATCGGCTCCTGAACGCCGCAAACCCGGAAGTAAGTGTTCCGGTTTGTGAATGTTTTTTGGAAGCTCCTGCAGCCAATCAGAAGCCACGGCTTGATTTTATAACAGTTTTGGGTGTCGAACGGGCTTTTGGAATGGATTAAGTTCAAGAACCAAGGTACCACTGTATTCTCAAGAGTTTTGTGTACCCATCAGTAGAGCAGGTAACATGATTATGGCCATGGTCCGCAGAAGGATGCTGTAGTCGTATCTTCCTCTGTCACCCTCCAGCGTACAAGCTCACTTCAGAAGATCAAGCAAAGGGAGACGGCTTGAGGGTCACGGGTGCTGCGCACATACCTCCCTTCTCCTGAACAACTCTGGGGCACCCTGAGAGGTGGAGCGGGGAGGTGAAATTTAAGGGAGAAGAAAGGCTCTGCTGAGTCCCTTCATGTGCAACCCAAGGAAAGAGGGCCGTTTCCAAAGATTATAATTTGCTGATGGCAAATGCAACGCCCATGAAAATAAACCAAAAGGGGTGATCCAAACACAAAGATTAAGAAAGTTTGCCTTAGATTTCCAGGAGATTTTGCCGCAACATAGGAGTTTACTTCCCTTCTTCAAGACGATTTGCTAGTATTACCTTTAAGTCGCTAATGAAATTTATAAGAAGCAACAGAATTCCACTTACCCATAAGGTCTCTGGATGAGAGCTGGATGTAGCTGCTGCACCCCTAAGGTGAAACCTAGAAAAATGTTTGCAAAACGCAGTATTAGATCCGGCTGTGCAACGTTATCGTGTATTCAGAAGTGCAGCTTGTGCCTAGGCCTGCTTACTCAGAGCTAAGTGCCGCTGTCTGCGGTGGGATTTACAGTTTTGCTTCATGCATCGTAGCTATCTTAATCCTTACTCTTTAGTACAAACAATTTTTGTGTTTACTTTCTCTATGACAACATTATCTGATGAATTCCGGAGAGTAGTCTTGTGAAGTCTGTTGCAGCGAGCGGTTTTGTGGCACCTTTAAGGCTAACAAATACAGCATAAGCTTTTGTGGAGTGCTAGAAACATTATCCTGTCCTCAGGCATCTCCCTAACTCTGCTCTGAATTGTTACCAACAGTTGGCGACTTAACTTGAACTGGCCAATGTTTCTCCTGTACTGTATATTACCACATTTCAGAGTGCGTATTTTAGCCCAGTGTTTCCCAACCTTTTTCTGACCATGGCCCCCTTCAGACATTGTTTCCTTCCTGTGGCTCCCTTGAATATCCTGGGGGGACCCCTGGTTGGGAAACACTGTTTTAGCCAACACTAGGTGAATAGAGAAGGAATTGGGCAGGATATATTATTTATTATTATTATTGCCTTAACATTAAAACTAGTTGTGCTTCCAGACCTCTCAACACTTCATCCACTCCCATGTGCAGCTACTTCATATAGCACAAGTCATAGTTTGCAGTTACATACAAACTAGCAAACTATGGTTTGCATGTCCCTCCAAACCATGATTGCAAACTATGGTTTGGGCATGTTTTGCAAGGCAAGTACAAACCGGTTTGCTGGTTTGGATTCTAACTGCAGACTACGTTTGTACTACACAGGAAGCAACTTACTGAATTGGAGCGGATGAGAGGAGAGAAGGAGAACAAGGTTTGTTCACGGCCTCATGTTATGTCAAACTATAGTTTGGTATTATTTTTGAACCAGATGACTGCAATGTATTCTATTAGCTGTTTTAATAAACTTCTAAAAATGTGTCGTGTCAACTTCCCACTCCCCCCACCACCACCATCATCATGGGTTGTTTGTATAACTACACAAGCAAGTTCCCCACTATTTAATTTTCCCAGTTTTTAATATACTGTTAATATAATATACTCTTCTATCTCCCGCACTCTGCTACATTCTATTAATTCCAAGTCTCAAACTTGTCTCTTTTCTGGACAGCTAGTCTTCCACTTGACTCATGTTTGTGTTCAAAGCTCCACTTTAATTTATGAAAGCATCTACAATTTATTTTGACTTTCATTAACGGGGCCCCTCCTTACTTGGACCCATTGTCGTGTCCATCTGCCATCTTCTCTTTTTTGCTTCCTTAGAGGTAAAATGCTTCCATCTCCCTTTCACAGAATCCTTTTCCGAGTTCGTATAATTCTGCCTTCTCCCTAGACTGCTTCACCTGCCATATTGCTGTCAACCTGTCCCCTTGGTCTCAGACATTCGCCTCTGCTTCAATCTGTTCAATTCTCCAACACACACAAAGTTTACTGAAGTTGTGAACAGTTGGCTGCAGATTATATACAATCTCAAGCCAACTATACTAATGCTTGGGCAAAGTTCCCCAGCGTTCTTTTCCTTGCACAAATCCCCATCTTCCCCTTCTTTGCTTCCAGCACATTTATTCTCCAGTGCATGCTCAGAAACTCAAGATATATATACATTGTCATGTTTAAGATAATTTGTCTGTTTTTTTTTTCTTTGAATCTGCAAGGCTCTCGGGTCACAACATCAAATGGCTATATTGCACGGCCTACAGTTTCTGGAGTTGACTAAAAACACAAATGAAGGAATCCAGAGCTTCAGCTGTAGTTGCCTGTCCTCAAAAGCATGCAGAACTTTCCAAAGGAAAGCACTAAGAAGAGCAGAGGCATCTGTGATGGCTCAGGCAAGCCAGCAAGCTACAGAAAGACACCTATGATTTTTCTTGAATTACATTTTTTCAACAACAAAAAAACCCACACACCCCAACCTGTTTATTGTAAGCTTTGAGCTAAACACAGATGTTCTAAAGATTTGCCTTATAATGGCTCAATTTGGATGTCACAGAGGCCAATCACCTGGTCTGACAACCAGAGTACAGGGGTACCTTGGTTTGTATACGTTTTGGATTACAAACATGTCAAACCCAGAAGTGTGTGTCCCAGTTTGCAACCTTTTTTTTTATTACAACCCTTTCTTTGGGGGGGGGATTATGAACAAAAAAAAATTTGGAGGCCCCATTGGCGAAAGTGTGCCTTGGGTTACAACCTGTTTTGGTTTACAAACGGACCTCCGGAACGGATTATGGTTTTAAACCAAGGTACCACTATACTCTGCAAGTTTGAGTACAGCATATGTTCCTTATAAACCAATTTCATTCCCCACTTTCTTCTTTAGAAAGTGTGTCTCCACCTCCATCATTCTACCTGGATACTGAGGTCCAGCACTGAGGGCCTTCTGGCAGTTCCCTCGCTAGTAGAAGCCAAGTTACAGGGAAGCAGGCAGAGGGCCTTCTCGGTGGTGGCACCCGCCCTGTGGAACGCCCTCCCACCAGATGTCAAAGAGAACAACAACTATCAGACTTTTAGAAGACATCTGAAGGCAGCCCTGTTTAGGGAAGCTTTTAATGTTTGATGTATTACAGTATTTTAATATTTTGTTGGAAGCCGCCCAGGGTGACTGGGGAAACCCAGCCAGATGGGCGGGGTATAAATAAAATAATAATAATAATAATAATAATAATAATAATAATAATAATAATAATAATAAGGCTCAGCCACAGTTTGCCAGATGTGGACATCATGGTAAACTAGGGTTAGAACAAACCAGGAAAGGGAAATGCATACACAAGAAGGAGGGGGGCCTGCACATGTCACTTGACACACGGTCCCTGTTCCTTGGGAACTGGAGCATGCATAGTTGCATGGTTTCTCTGCTCCAGCTCCTGCAGCACTTGCCAAGAGATTGTCAGTGGCGTTGAAAACTCCATTCTTGGCAGCAGAAACAAATCGCACAAAATAAGCTCAGCATGCAGAGTTTATTTGGATGGCGGAATGAGCTTCCTGGGTGCAGAAAACACACAGCTTTATTTTCATTGTCCTATTCAAACCCAGAAAGATATTGAGCCAATTTATAAAGAGAGAGAGAGAGAGAGAGAGAAGAGAGAGGGGAGTGGGGGCAGTTTGTCTCACCAGTTTGAATACTCCTTGGTTTTGCTCCCAGATAAGCAAGGTTGACGTTTGCTTTCCGGCCGTCAATGATGGGGTTGGGATCCTTGCAAGCCCTTTCGGCCGCAGATCTGTCAGCCATGGTCACCTGGAAAGAAGCAGGCAGACTGTGTTTGTAAGAGACCTGGAACAACACCAAGTGGGCGTTTTTCCTCCCCTCCTTTCTAGCAAGCACTTCCACACAACAAAGTTAAGAACGCTCCTTGAATCTCACTTGAAAAGCTGTTAAGAGGGGATAATCTGTTATGTAGCTCTGGAGAGAGGAAGCCTCATCATCTCCACCTATATCCCCCTTTGTTTCCTGTTTTGACATCACAAGTAAAAAAGACCAGGCTGGCTGAATATCATGCAGCCAAGCAGAGGCGGAGGCAGGCGAAGACGCTGTTTTAAGATTCAAGATCCCTTGAACTCCGGTACGCTCACGGAGGCAGCTTTATGGCTGAAGTACCTTCCAAGCACTGTAAAGTTTGCCCTTCAGAACGTGATTTACAATGGAAAAGCCAGCAGTAGATGGAAGCATCCCAAAGCAAAAGAGCACTCAAGGGAGAATGCTATAAACTGCAGGCAGATAAGTTCAGAGTAGCTACTATTTTTGTTTCCTCTTTTTTAAAAACAACACATTGCGCCCCCCTCTCCTTTTGGCACTGGAAGGGAATAATCAGGTGGTAGCTTTTCCTTTTCTTCTCACCACAAAGCAAACAGAAACCCAAGCAGCGCAGCCCCACCTAACCAGCAGCAAGAACAGCACAGAAATGAACAGCTTCCCCCTTTTGAAAGTGTGGAATTGCATTACTGAAGCTTGAGAAGGCAGGAGACACTCCTGTCTGTACACCGTTAACAAGTCTGTAGGGTTTATTTCAATGCACGACAAAACTGCTAAACGCAACGTTGTCTCCAGGGGAAACTGAACATGCCTCGTATATGTAGATCATGCAAATTCTATTTTAAAGGCTCCAGCTAAATGTGACATTCCTATGTAACTGGAAATAATTATCATGGTTGGGATGCAACACTAAACTATGGCTTAGTGTTACATGAAAGAACCTTGGGTTTGTCAGCTCCCCACACTAAACTCTCGTGTGCAGGTACCGAGATCCGAAGCTCTTTGCTTCCATTTTCAACGGCGATTTAACATTAGGCACGACCCCGTAAACTGTGGTTAGTCTTAACTGTGGTTTACTGCAACAAGTCAGCTTCACAAACCATATCTGAATCTGGCTTGTTACCATAAACCATAGCTAAGACTGGCCACAGTTGTCTCGGCTTTGACATAATGCTAAGAATGCACCGCATAAAATCATTCCTGGGCTGCACAAGTTCATTGACTTTTTATTCTAATGATAAAAATGCAAAGCAGCTGGGAGGCGGTGGTGAAAATGTCCTGCTGAGATGCATCCTCAAGATGCCCAACAATGAAGTGCAAGGTCAATTATTGGTTAGAGAAAGCCTCCTGTCGCTTCCAACAAGAATCCTCTTTAAGAAGAAATTTAAGAACCTGGGAAAGGAAACAGTAGAGATCCTAGGCGCAATCCTCAGCTTCTCTGGGTAAGACTACGAAAGCACCTGCTGAAGAGCTTGCGAGAACAGATGCCAGCCTGGGTAGAATGGGCAAGAGGGATCAACTAGGCAAATGTCCCTAATGCAAGACGAGTTCTCAAAGCAGCCCATCAGATGCCTCTGGGAAGCTCACAAGCAGGACTGCAGGGCAAATGTACTCTCCACCGCAACCAGCATTCAGAGCCATCCCACCTCTGATCCTGGAGATAGCAGAGGTAAAAGGTAAAGGACCCCTGGACAGTTAAATCCAGTCAAAGGTGACTATGGGGTGCAGCGCTCATCTTGCTTTCAGGCCGAGGGAGCTGGCGTTTGTCCACAGACAGCTTTCCGGGTCATGTGGCCAGCATGATGAAACCGCTTCTGGCACAATGGGACACCGTGACGGAAGCCAGAGCGCACAGAAATGCCATTTACCTTCCCGTCACAGTGGTACCTATTTATCTACTTGCACTGGCGTGCTTCAGAACTGCCAGGTGGGCAGAAGCTGGGACAGAGCAACAGGAGCTCACCCCATTGAGCGGATTCGAACCACCAATCTTCCAATCGGTAAGCCCAAGAGGCTCAATGGTTTAGGGACGTGGGCGGTGCTATAGAGATAGCGTACAGCCACCATGACTGGTACTTCTCCATACCTCTATGAATTTGTCCAATCCCCTTTTAAAGCTATCCCTGCATTCTGAGGCAGCAGCAAGTTAAGGAACTTCTACTTAAGCGGCGCCTGCAACAAAATGTTGCAGCACAAAGTGCTCCTCATCAGTTCTGGCCAGCCATGCCTTTTTCCACACCCACCCACCCAATAGATGCTCAGTCCTTACTGAGATATTCTAGAGAGGCTACTCCTCCCCCACCCACCCTGAAAATTGTGTGTGTGAATGCACATTTTAATTTTCTTTTCTGCACTTCTGCAAACCTCTGGATTCTCCACAACTTGCTAACACCTTGTGTGTGTGTGTGTGTGTGTGTGTGTGTATGCTGCTGTTTTGACTGTGTGAATATCCCTATTCGGAGAACTGAGTTCGCTATTCACCTCTCCCAGCTCCTGCACTTAGCATGCAATCCCTTCAAAAGTGTAGAAGGCAGAGAGAAGATGCAATTTCCTCCATCTCCTCACCCAGCAACTGTCTTTGAAAAAGTGTTGGAAGACATCCTTGGGAATGCAAAAAGGAGCCCATGTAATACTCCAAATCCACCACAGCATGAATAGTGGGGGAGTATTTGGAAGAGGGGGAGGGGAATGTGACAGGGTAATATTCCCACCCCGGTTTTTGTGAACCGGGAACAACACAACAAGGATCAAAGGCAGTGGGGCAGCAGTACACTGGGATACAAAACCATTTCCCCCATGCACAGAGTTGAGTACCCTTCACCTGACAGGGTGAGGGAAAAAGTACCAGGCTAAGCGTTGCCATACCGATTAGAGGTCACAAAGTCAGAAAGCAGCAGGAAGTAACGCAACCTGCAGGAACCTCTGCTCATGCAATAGCCCCTGCAACTGTTAAGCCTGATTCCTTTTCCAAGAGACACCCTCCACTTCCGGACCCGCACGGCACTTCTTTCACTCTGCTGCAAATTCCCTACGGATCAGGACCACCGTAGAACCACTGGAACGGATTCCTTGATGGGATACAATTTCGGAAGTCATCCCACTCCCCACACCCAGTATGAAAGGATGAGGGAGACAACACAAGACACACACGCACGGAAGAGATGCCGTAAATACTACAGCAAAGAGTTTGTGCGACCCACAACCCCATTTCCCCAGAAACACACTGAGCAGATAATCCAAGCAGAGTCTCCACCTCCCTGCTATATGTCTGCAAGGAGTCTCTTCTCCTTTACCAAATACATTGTTTTTACTATGACAGTATTGTTAACAACGACATACCCCACAAGATCACACAAACGCCAATTAAGCAGAACACTTCACGTCAATGCAAAGAGCTCTCCAGGCCCTTTGGGACCTAGTTTTCAGCTCTGCACAGTAATCTTGAACTGGACACCCCAACTCCAAAGACCATTCTAGAAGCAACATCCTCTTAACCCAGCCAATCGCTTCCATCTCTTCCCCTAGGAGTGACTACCCACTTTCTGCTCCCTCCACCCGCATAGCACCCCAACTCTTAAGCTACCAGACTCCCAAACCACCTTTGGAACCAACGAAGTCCCTCTAGATGTGGCTCCTCCAGTTTCATAAGCCTGAAGAGGCAGTTGCAGGTCTGTGGGCTCCCACCCTAAGCTATCAAATTGCAGGCCACCTCCATAATCCCCCCTCCCCGTATTTCCTTGCAAGTTTATATAAACAGAGGGGCATCAAACTCAACATGCTCTAGAGTCTGGAAACGAAGCCTGATGAGGAATGGTTGAAGGAGCTGGATATGCTTAGCCTGAGACTAAGAGGAGATGCAGTAGCCATCTTCAAACATCGAAAGGGCTGTCACATAGCGAACAGGCTTGTTTCCTCCTGTTCTGGAGGAGGGTAGGACCCAAACCATTGGATTCAAGTTACAAGAAAGGAGATTCTAACTAACCATCAGGAAGAACTTTCTGACAAAGAGCTGTTTGACAGTGGAATGGAGGTTGTGGACTCTCCTTCCATGGAGGATTTTAAGCAGAGGGTGGGTGGCCATCTGTCATGCTTTAGTTGAGATTCCTACATTGCAGGGGGCTGGACTAGATGACCCTCAGGGTCCCTTTCAGCTCTACAATTCAATTACTATCTCATTCAATATAGACTGGTTATGGCTCAAAGGGATCACCAAGTTCGAGAAAGAGGGAGCTAAAAATACTGTACTGTTTCCCCACGGCCCGTCTCCCATTTAGGCCGCTGAAATTTTAACCTTTCCGCGCAGGGTTAAGGCAGAAAACGGAAGACTCCTATTGCAGGTGAGCGCCCCGACGTGTCGACTACTCCGAATTCATTGGGAAGACCTGCAAGAGGCGGGGTAGCGAGGTCCTTTGGCGAGGTGCCCCGACGCCAGGTGACGAGAACAGCCCCTCCCAGCCCTTCCCGAAAAGCGACCCCCCCCGGCCCCCAAATCTGCACTTACGAAGCCATATCCCCGGGATTTTCCCGTCTGCCGGTCCGTGATGACGACGGCTTCTTCGATGTCGCCGAACACCTCGAAGTACTTCCTCAGCGAGGAGTCCGTGGTGTGGTAGGGCAGCCCCCCGACGAAGATCTTCGTGAAGGTAGTGTCCTTCTGCACCGTGTGCATGGCGCCGGAGCAGCCCCGACGGCGATGGCCGCAGCTGCTAGTTGGAGAGGAGGAGGAGAAGGGCGACGAGGACGAGGAGGGCGGCGGAGAGTGGGAGAGGCTGGAATAAGCATCCAAAAGGAGGAAAGGGCGAGACGAGGCGCGAGGAAAGACGTCCAGGGTGGAAGGAAGGAGGTGCCCTACTCTGCCTGGGTCACCGCGCGACCCAGCGAGTGGTCCACGGGCGAGGAGGAGCAGGAGGAGGAAGGAGAAGGAGACCGGGGGAGCCCGCTCCCCCGAGCAACAGCGACTCAGCGACCACAGGAGCAGCAGCAGCAGCTCCGCGCCCCATGCAGCAGCTCCAGCGGCAAAAGCAACCGCAGCATCGACGGCAGGGGGCAATGAGAGCGCTCCGCCTTTCCAAAGCGCTGCCAGCCCCCCGCCCCGTCGAGCAGCAGCAGCACGACCTCTCGCCTGGAGCCGCGGAGCGTGAAAGTGCTCCCCAGCGCTCGCGCGCCTTTGTACCCATCCTTCCCTCTCCGCCCCTTCCAAGGCCGGGCTCCAGCCACGCCTCCTCGCCGCCGGGTCGGGGGAAACGTTGAGCCTGGCCGGCCGCAGAGGCCCCTGGGCTTCGTAGTTCTTCGCCGCCGACGCCTCGTCCGTTGGGGCGGCGCAAAAACGAGGGCGGTGACGCGGAGTTTCGAGGCGCTTCGAAGCCTGATCGTGCAACCCGTGGGGTACAATCGCGCGGAGCTCGTTGGCGAGGCTTACTTCTGAGTAGACGTGATTGCACGTTGTAGCAAGACCTGTCTCTCGGCAGAAGCGTCCGTGGACTACCGGAGCCGGAGCCTATTTCTGCTTAGATGAATGAAGTCCTATGGCGAATATTGCTTTTTGATTTTAAAAACTTAAATTTCACCTTCCCATTCGCGCGCACACTTAGAAAATTCCCAAGCCGTCTTTTAATACATACAATTTTTTTAAAGTACTAAAGGTCTTTAACTCCAAAGTAGCCCCAAAACTCCTGTATGGCATTGCATTATGGATTGGTGCAGTTAACCAATCGTTGGATCGCATCCAATCCAAATTTCTGTGCAAAATCCTGGGGCTGCCAAATTGTGTGCCATATGCAGCCATGTGTCTGGAAACTGGACAAAGGCTGCTGGAAACCAAAATGTGTCTCACCACTGTAAAATTCTGGCTCTACCTACATTTCATGTCTGATCTGACATCTTTAACTTTCCACATGCTGGCAGAATCCCACCACTCCAAATTGCTAGCTTGCACTGAGAGCAAAATCAACCTGTAGCCTGTCACTCGAGTCGCTCCCACAATTAGAAGCATTCCAGAAATATCAAGTGCAGAATCCTAGAGATTGAATTCCAAAACCCTTTGCAATGCAGCCAAAGAGTACAGGAGATGCAAACAAAAAGCAGTAATTCAAATATTAAGGTAAAGGTAAAGGTACCCCTAGGGACGCGGGTGGCGCTGTGGGTAAAAGCCTCAGCGCCTAGGCCTTGCCGATCGAAAGGTCGGCGGTTCGAATCCCCGTGGCGGGGTGTGCTCCCGTTGTTCGGTCCCAGTGCCTGCCAACCTAGCAGTTTGAAAGCACCCCCGGGTGCAAGTAGATAAATAGGGACCGCTTACTAGCGGGAAGGTAAACGGCGTTTCCGGCCTATAGAATGAGATGGGCGCACAACCCTAGAGTCGGACACGACTGGCCCGTACGGGCAGGGGTACCTTTAAAAGGTAAAGGCACCCCTGCCCCTACGGGCCAGTCTTGACAGACTCTAGGGTTGTGTGCCCATCTCACTTAAGAGGCCGGGGGCCAGCGCTGTCCGGAGACACTTCCGGGCCACGTGGCCAGCGTGACAAAGCCGCATCTGGTGAGCCAGCGCACCACATGGAAACGCCGTTTACCTTCCCGCTAGTAAGCGGTCCCTATTTATCTACTTGCACCCGGGGGTGCTTTCGAACTGCTGGGTTGGCAGGCGCTGGGACCGAGCAATGGGAGCGCACCCCGCCGCAGGGATTCGAACCGCCGACCTGACGATCGGCAAGTCCTAGGCGCTGAGGTTTTACCCACAGCGCCACCTGCATCCCCAATTCAAATATTATACAGTGGTAACTCAGAAGTTGAACAGAATCCGTTCTGGACGTCCGTACAACTTCCAAAACATTCGGAAACCAAGGCATTGGATGTTAGGGTTCCAAAGAACATTCGCAAACCAGAACACTCGCTTCCAGTTTTGCGGCGTTTGGGAGCAAAACGTTCGACTCGCAAGGCGTTCAGTATCCAAGGTACGACTGTACTGCCAGAAGGTGAACATAAGCCTATCAAAATTAAGCCCAACGTAATAAACACACCTGAATTAAATTCTCAAAGCCCATTGAAACTGAACATGTTTTGCCTAGAGGCTAAAGGGAGTGTGAGGTAACTGTGGCCCTCCAGTTGTTGCTAGGCTACAACCATCCCTGACCTTTAGTCCCCCAGGCCCCGGCCGGGGTTGATGGGAGTTGGAGTCCAGTGTCTGAAAAGCATCAGTATTTGGCTAAGCCTGGTCTAAGATACAACAAGGAAGGGGTCAGGCCAGTCAGCTTGTGGAATAGAATCCCAGGCTCTTTTCCTTAGTGTCCACTTGCCCACTGGCTGTCAGACAACAGAGAACTGATCTGGCCAAGTAACCAACTATGTGCACGTTACACCAAACGCACCAAACGTGTAGTTTCTCATGACGAGCGCATCAGTACACCTCTCCCCTCCCATGCTTCTGTTGGATTTGCAGAATACAAGTTTAATCTACTTGTTAGTTAACCACTAAATTCAACACTTAGGTTATGAGATAACTGAAAGATATCTCCCTGTTGAGAAGCAGTGTACCCACGCAGCACCACTCTCTGGGAAACCAGCAGCAGAAGAGGGTTGTTGCCGCCATGCTCTGTTTGTAAGATTCCCAGAAGCATTTGGTTAGCCGCTGGGAATTTGTGGGAGCAAATTCCATAGTTTAACAACGTGCTGTGTGAAGAAGTTCTTTTTCTTTGGTCTTTCTTGAATTTCCTAGCATTCAGCATCATCGGATGGTCGTGGGTATTGGGTGCCTTGGCAGAAAGATGGGATATAAATATAGTAAGTAAATATAGTATATAGAGAGGGAGGAAAACACTTTATTCACTTTCTCAACTCCATACACAATCTTTTGCACCTCTGTAATGCCCCCTTGCAGCTATTCCCCCCCCCCCAGAATATAAGACTTAAATGTTGTTACTTCTCCAGCTCCTTGTTCATTTTGGTTGCTATTTCTGAACTTTTCCCAGATCTAAAATATCCTTTCCCTAATGATCCGTAACATGGAGTTCACCCCTTTTCACAGCTTCCACACAGTGGATCCCTATCTTCACTGAGCTATCCACTATGATCCCAAGGTTTTGTTCCTGGCCAGTCATCTCCAGTTCAGACGCCTTGATCGTGTATGTGAAACTAAGGGTTTTTTGTTTTGCTTTGCTTTTTTGCTTTCGCACCAACATGCATCACTTTTACAGCTGAACTGAATTTGTTAAGCTAATATTTAGGAGCCTTTGGTGAGGGACTTTTGTCAAAGGCTTCTTGAAACTCAGTCCTGATAACTGGGCATGGGGTATTTGTGCGCTTCTGAGACACAGCCTGCATTTGCTGGTGGATTTACCCATCCCAAACTGTGGCTTTTGCAGGAAACGAGCACTACCCGCTCCAAGCCTTACGGTTCTGCTTCCCACTGAAACTACATCCCCCAGCAGGCACTGCGGGAGCCCCTTCCTCCTCCCCTCCCCACCCTGGAGAATATTGCCGCTCGTTGCAAACGGACGGTCGATTTGCATAGGGGTGGCGAGAGGCAGCAGAAAGGAGCGCTGGATTTGACTAAGAAATGCAAGTTTGCAAAGCAAATCTTTGTGCCGAGAAGCCCGCCAAAGAAAGCCGCCTAACAGCGCGCGCGCCTGTTTTTTTAAATGTTGAACTTTGCAGGAATCCCGATTGCAAATAATTGCAACTTCTGGCAAGCGCTGGCATTTGGAGAAGGTCATCGGGCGGGGAGCCTCGGTCCCTCCTTGCTTATAATGCGTTTGGTGGCCGCAGATGTTTACGAAGCTGAGCCTTTGGGAAGAGGAAGAAAAGAGCGAACGCTTAAATAAAAAATCATGCACATAAGAGCCAGCTCCTAGGAGCTGTGGGGGCTTCGGCCCCCACAAAAAAAATAGTTGCCCTCTGTGGGCGATACTTTTTTATTACTATTAAATCTGTATACCACCCTTGATCTGAAGATCATGGTGATTCACAACATAAAAATACAAAAGAAAAAATAAAATATGTAACAAAACAAACAAAAAACAAATCAATAAGCCCCTTCCACAAGCACATTCAAAAGGTAATAATAGGTAGTTAATCACCCAAAGGCTTGAGAGGAATGTTTTTGCCTGGTGCCTCCCTGGGGAGAGCATTCCACAAACAGGGTGCCAATGCAGAACAGGCCTGTTCTCGTGTTGCCACCCGCAGGACTGTTAAGTTGTGGGTGAACATATCAGACGACACAGCGATTCTTCAAACAGCTCTTGTTTATTCAGAGGCCAGAACAGAACAGAACTGAAGGGTTCAGCCAACCTGCTTATATAAAGCTCAACTACAAAGCAACAGTAAAAACTTTCTGTAACTATCCAATCACTGAATGCCACTTTCAATGCCTTATTTGCATATGTGGACCTGAGTGAAAACTATCTACAGTATCCCCCTGCTGGCCCAGGATGAGAACTTCAGTACATAACAAGGACCTCTTGTGGAGGAAGCGCACAAAGGGTCTCAGATGATCTCAAGGTCTGAGTCAGCTTATATGGGGAGAGGCGGTCCTTAAGGTATTGCGGTCCTGAGCTTTTCAAGGCTTTACAGGTCAAAGCCAACACTTTGAATTGGGGCCAGAAACCAATCGGCAGCTAGTGCAATTGTGCCAGGATCAATCTTGCCCCGATGAGCAACCTGGCCACCAAATTCTGTGCCAGCTAAAGTTTCCAACTTGTCTTCAGAGGCAACCCGACATACAACGCATTGCAGTAATCTAACCTAGAGGTTACCAGAGCATAGGCAACAGTAGTTAGGGGTGCAGCTGGGCCACCAGCCAAAGCTGGTGGAAGGCCCTCCGTGTTACTGAGGCCACCAGAGCCTCAAGTGACGAGCAAAGCACCCAAAAGTACCCACAAGCTGTATACCTGCTCCTTCAAAGGGAGTGTAACCCCATCAAGAACAGGCAACCTGTTAGATGGACCAAAATAAGGACCCGTCTCCACTATATATTTGCAGCAGTATCATACCACTTTATGCAATCCTGGGAGCTATAGTTTGTTAAGGGTTCTGAAAGCTGTTAGGAAACTCTTTCCCCTTCACAGAGCTACAATTCCAAGAATTGCCTGGAAAGAAGGATTGATTGTGAGGTTATCCTGCGAGTTGTAGCTCTGTGAGGGGAATTGGGGCCTCCTGCTCTCAGTGTCCCTCCCTCATCCACTGATAGTGTAAAGGTAAAGGGACCCCTGACCATTAGGTCCAGTCGTGACCGACTCTGGGGTTGCGGCGCTCATCTTGATTTATTGGCCGAGGGAGCCGGCGTACAGCTGCTGACTAAGCTGCTTCTGGTGAACCAGAGCTGCATACGGAAACGCTGTTTACCTTCCCACCAGAGCGGTACCTATTTATCTACTTGCACTTTGACATGCTTTCGAACTGCTAGGTTGGCAGGAGCAGGGACCGAGCAACGGGAGCTCACCCCGTCGCAGGGATTTGAACCGCCGACCTTCTGATCGGAAAGTCTGCGCCACAGCGCCACCCGCGTCCCCTGATAGTGTAGATCAGGCCAAAAATAGGATAGTCAGACTTCTCCCCCTCTGCTTGGACATGAGTTAAACCTGGGACAGACATTTTGCTGCCTGAGGCAAAGACAATATGGTCTTCCCCACCACCACTGCCTGTGTATCCAAAACCCAACCAGGTTGGCAACTGAATTTTACAACGTCTTCCACCTCGCAGTAGGCTGCCTTAAAGCCTTGCAGGGAAGACCACATGGTATACAGAGTTGTGTTTGGCAACGCCTCATTACTGCTCTGCACCTCTCAGCATCCACCGCCAAATTGAGGCGGCTGCCACAATCTGCCTAATGGTAGGACCAGACCAAAACACTTCCCCCCCCTTGTTACCTGAGCCTATAGGGGGGTGCCTGCATTCCATAGAATAAAACCCCAATTCCAGGGCAGGTATTAAGCTCTCGAGTTGCCGGGCTGGGGATAGAAAAGGCATCTCTTTTGAACTGTGGCTTGTAGACTGTAGCCTCCATCCGCTCTCCGAAAGCTTGTACAGTACTGTGGGAATAGTTAGGCTTGTTGCCTTTGCTAATGCCAAATCTGGATGCTTGCCACCCTTCTGGGCTGTGAAGCATCCTGGGAGGAGATGCCCTAAATCCTTTTTCGTTTGTAGCAGTGATCATGCTGTATCCAAAGGTCTCTTCCTTTGTCTCTGCATTTTCCGATCACCCTGAACGCACTGTGGCCTTTTAGATCTCAGCGCTGCTGCTATAAATAATGAGCCTCTTTTTTAAACACAAACACGCACACACATCGTGGTTAGCGAATTATGAGAGCAGGAAAAGTTCATAATCTTGCCTTTGCTCAGCCGTGCTTCTTCTGAATAACCTTTTATGAATATCTGGGTATATACTGTATATGTATGTATGGAAACGTAACTGATTATATTCATTGTGTTATACTATATCTCTCCTTTTCCTACTATGATTCTATGACTTAGAACAAAATATTTAACAGGTCCAAGCCTATATGTAACCTTTAGAAGACATCTGAAGGCAACTCTGTACAGTGGTACCTCGGGTTAACAACTTAATTTGTTCTGGAGGTCCGTTCTTAACCTGAAACTGTTCTTAACCTGAGGTACCACTTTAGCTAATGGGGCCTCCCGCTGCTGCAGCGCCGCCTGATTTCTGTTCTCATCCTGAAGCAAAGTTCTTAACCCGAGGTACTATTTGTGGGTTAGCGGAGTCTGTAACCTGAAGCGTCTGTAACCCAAGGTACTACTGTATAGGGAAGCTTTTTAATGTTTAATGCTTTATTATGTCTTTATATGCGGTGGTATCTTGGTTCTCGAACTTAATCCGTTCTGGAAGTCCGTTCAACTCCCGAAACCATTCAAAAACCAAGGCACGGCTTCTGATTGGCTGCAGGAGCTTCCTTCACTCAAGTGGAAGCTGGGTCGGACATTCGGCTTCCGAAAAACATTTGTGAACCGGAACACTTCCGGGCTTGCGGTGTTTGGGAGCCGATTTGTTCGGAAGCCAAGCTGTTCGAGTACCAAGGTACCACTGTATGTTGGAAGCCACCCAGAGTGCCTGGGGCAACCTAGTCAGATGGGCGGCGTACAAATAAAAATTGTTGTTGTTATTATTGTTGTTGTTATATTCCCATGCTTCACTTTGCTGCATGTTTTGTGTTTTGACACCTCTTTTGGGACTCTCTCTACCATAGTGTTCTGCCCTGTGTTTACATCTAGGGACACAGCAATTGCTTTTACTTAATAACCAGTCGCAAACTCTGAGACACTTCCAATAATCTCCATACAGAAATGTTCATGCCTTGCCTTCAATTTTTATTGACCCGAGCACGCTCAAAGGGTATTCAACGAAACGGGAGAGGTTGCCGTTTGCTCCTTTCAGGAGCCCGTCCCTACTTAAAGGCGCCTTCAGCTGGCAATGGTGGGTGGTGTTGCATCGAGCCCTCCCCTCCCCCTGTCCGCCAAGAGAGGGGGATTGTGGGAGAAGGGTTCGTGGTGGCCCAGGCTGGCGCCACCGCTGCCTCCTGCCAGCTTCTCGTAGTCCGGAGTCGGCTGCAGGGACCTCTGCTGGTGCTTCCTCTCCCAGATGCTTTTGCGCTGCTTGTGGGTGTCGCTGCCCCCCTGCCCTGCCGGTCCCTGGCTGGAACTGCCCCTGCTGTGGCTGAGAGACATCCTGTTGGCCAGAACATCCTTTCTGGAGATGCCTTGGGATGCAGAGAAGGGGTGGTTGGGCTGGTCGGGGTTGTGTTCCGGGCTGGGCAGCGGAGGGCTGACCAGGTAAACATACACTTCGGCCTGCTGCGCCGCGGGCAAGCGCTGCTGCCACTCTGGCCCGAGGCGGTGGCGTGGCCCTCTTGGGGAGTGCGGGTAGGGGTACTCCTCGCCGTTGAGGTGGGTCCTCGACACCGCATCCGAAGCCAGGGCAGAGTACACCACCCGCCTAGGGCCCGGCAAGATGGGGCTGAGGATGAAATTTGTCTCGCTGGACTGGCGGTTGAAGTGTTCGTGAGGGGCTTCCGGGCAGCGGGGAGCAGGCTCCTCGGTGTTCATGCCCACCGAGTGCTGCAGGAACCTCTGCCCCTGGGCACCCTCCCTGGCGATGTCCGAGCTGTGCTGCTTGTCGCCAGTGGCTCTTTGGTGGCTCCGGGCGTGGGCCCCGCAACGGGCCGAGCTGCTTGCGGCCTCGGCGGCGCGCTGCGGGGGGCTGAAGTTGAAACGTACCCAGGAGGCGACGGACCCGGCGGGGCACGCCGGCTGGGGGGTTTCGGTGTCTGAGGGGTGGGAGCTGCATTGGCTGCTTCGGCGGCGTTGCGGGCTCCTGCACCAACTGGCCTTCTTGTCGTCTGTGTCGTGGTGGCTGGACCACTCGCCGGAGTAGTAGGCCTTGCTCTTGCGGCCGCCCTGCGAGCAGCACGCTTTGGGCTCCTGCAGGCTGCTCATCTTCACTGTGACTTTGACGGGGTCCACGATGCAGCGGAAGCGCATGCTGGAGAGCTTCTTGCGGCCTCTGAGAAGCAGTGACTCCTTCCACAGTCTCTTGCTGCTGGAGAGGATCTTCATGGTCTTCAGAAGTTGGCCGCCTGAGGAGAAAGGAGGCGGAGAAGTGTGAGGGTGGTTAGAACACTTGGGAGCATCACTAGGAGGAAAAGGAGGCTGCTTCCCTGGTCGTTGCTTTAAAGTGCCTGTGTTTCTAATTTGGGTCCTCGGCTGTTGTTGGACTACAACTCCCATCATCCCTAACCAGCAGGACCTGGGGTCTGGGATGATGGGAGTTGTAGTCCAATAACAGCTGGGGACCCAAGGTTGAGAAATACTGCATGGGTGAGGGACATCTGGTTCAGGGACCTAACGTAGCCCTCCAAACCGCTCTGTCTGGCCCTTGGGACTCTCACCAGCCATGCCTTCCCTCCCTAGGTCACAGCCTGCACCAGCCCTGCTTTGCACTCTCCTAAGTATGTGTCCTTGAACTCTGATAATGCTTCTTTTTTCTCCCTGGATGGAGTGTGTGTGAGATCGCGTGTAAACACTAGTCTACTGCATAAAGGGTAATATTCACATTTCCGCTTTTGCTTCTGGACCCAGGCATGACTGGCATGCAGCCCCCAGAAAGTTTACCAGAACAGAAAGCGGACTTCAGAAGAGTGGACCTCACCCCCAATTTAAACTTCGTAAGTTAATTTACGGAATCCCAGATCAAGCAAAGCCTGGTTCGCTTTCCTGAGCAGGCTGTTTGGTGGAACAAGCAAAGAAATGATAATGGAATAGGGGGAAGGGTCCCAAGGAGAGGGCTGGGGGTGCCTCAGAAGTGGAGATAATTTAAGAGCCCAGTTCCCAGGACTCTTTGAGTGAAGCCATGGTAGTATACAACCATGATAACTTTGTGCCTGGGACTAGCTGGATGACAAGGAGTGGTGGGAGGCACCAGTTGGGGAACCCCCTAAGGAAGCCTCATAGGAGGAAGGCTCAGAGGCCGGGGAGTGGTGGTGGCACACTGAGCACAGGTCAGAGGGAGAAGGAGGGAGGAGTGGTTGGATGCTGAGGAAGCAACAGGCTTCAGTGAGCAAGAGGATCCAGGTGCAGAAAGCAGTTCAGACTCAGAAGGTGAAGCAGAGGAGGAGGGAAAGGAGGCTGCAGAAGCATCCCAGGAGCTTGCTGGTCCTACTGTACTAAGCTCCTCTGCCCCCTTGTCTCCAAGGACAGGGAGGGCTATGTGTGTCACAGAACAAGTGGCACAGATTCCCTCCCCGTCCCAACCCCACATAATTTGAAGCTGCTTGGAAAACATGCAGCAGGGCAGGAGACTCAGAGGAAAACAGCAGACGAAGACCATCAGTCCTGGCAGCTGTTTCATAGGGGACAGCCCTGTTTGTAGGGATTGCTGCCTTGTATGGTGTTTCCTTGAATAAAGAGTTAACTTCTCTGCTCGTCTCTTGAGTGCTGACCTGCATCTGAACCAGTCCTAAAACTCTGTAGGGGAGGAAAGGGCAGGCTCCAGATTGAAGGGCACCCTTGGCAATACGTCCCCTGGTGCCCGCCCCCGTATATAGGTGACTGCCCCCACCCCGCTGCCCAAGCCATGGGCTAACCTGGTGATATTGGAAGGAAAGCTGTAAGTGGCCATCAGAGCTTTCCCCGCAGGGGTAGTCAACACAGATGATAGGGACTACAATGCCCATCAGCCAGGATGCCCAATAGGAATGATGGGAGTTGTAGTCCGTAATGTTTTGGGGGTGGGGAGAACCACACTAGCTATCCCTTTGTGGTAAGACATTTCTTTATTCAGTCTCTCCTCACCACTCTTGCCTTCTTTCAGTCGGGCTAGCTAACAAATTATTAGCAATCGAGTCTTAGCTAACAGACTCCAACTTTCTAAGCATCCCAGAGTAATAAAACTGCACATTTACAAGTATCTCCTTTCTATTTCCAGTTCTTGTTCTCTCTCTCTCAGTCACACACACACACACACACACACACACACACTTCTTTGGCCAAAACACCAGGTTGTTTGGTATTATTGGGAGGTTTGAGCAGCCAAAAATACTAAAGTTTTCCCCACTTTTGACTGCTTCCTTGACTATTAAGTTCCCCCTCTTGATATTTCTAGCTGTGTGGGTACCAGCAGATACTTTTCCAGTTTCAACACCGTGATTTCCGTGGCCTGGGAGAAACAGAAGAGCTGGGAAACAGGACAGGAGCATAATCCTAAGAACTTGAGGGACAAAAGAAAACAGGATCTCATCCTCACCTCTTTCTCATCTAAAACTTACCTTTCTTGAAGCAAGAGTCATGTATTTTCCTCATTAATGGAGAGATGCTAATCCAGCCCTGGAGAGGAGAAAAAGGCAAATGTCATCGTACTGCTCAGCAGCCACTGTTTAGGGGCTGTTCCGCTTTGCAAACCTTTTGTTGGAGTTAACCCTTGGTGCTTCCAACAGCACACCCAAGGAAACCCATAACGCCCTCCATCTTTGGCCCAGGGCTTACCAAGGAAATCAGTCTGACGGCATATTCCAGTAAAGCGAGAAGTCCCAGCACGATCAGGATGGTGGCTAGCAGCTTCTGGTGCGTCTCGCCAAAAGGGAGGCAGCTGCTGTAGACCTTGTCCCCTGGCACAGCCATAGCTGGAAGGCGGGGAGAAACCGGTAGCTGGAAGTCAGTGCAGCATCGTTCCACTCATCTCCCCCTTGCCCTGCTCCCTCTGCCGCAGCCAGAGCAAGCAGCCGCTGCAGCCGTGGTGGGTGATGGAGGGTGCTCAGAGGGTTGCTAGAGCCAGTGTGTTAGCAGCACAGGCCTTTGTGACAAGAGTCCTGTGTCATGCATTGCTCAAATGTGTGAGTCAGGTGAGGGATTGTCTTGGATGGACCAATCAGGAGCATTGCATTGAGGGTCACCGCAGTCAGTCAGGCCCTGGTCTATGCATTTTGACAATGTGAATATTGTACAATTTTCTTTTTTCATTTTTTTAATTGATTTTCAAAAATTCAAAACAAAACAAACAAACAAACAAACAAAAATACATAGATCCTATTTAAATCTTGGTAACATTACTAACTGACTTCCTCGAATCCCCTTGGTTGAATTTCATTATATATCATTTTAAGTTTTCCAAAATCGAATTTCTCAAAAAATTAACTTGATCACTTAACATCTTTCATTCTTTCTAATTTGACTTTAAACATCATAAATCTTATCCTTACATATTTGAATCCTAAGCCTATCTATTATTTGCAAGCTTTTCCAATTAAGTTATCTTAATAATGTAAAGGTAAAGGTATCCCTGCCCGTACGGGCCAGTCGTGTCTGACTCTGGGGTTGTGTGCTCATCTCGCTTAAGAGGCCGGGAGCCAGCGCTGTCCGAAGACACTTCTGAGTCACGTGGCCAGCATGACGAAGCAGCTCTGGCGAGCCAGCACCAGCGCAGCACACGGAAACGCCGTTACCTTCCCGCTATAAAGCGGTACCTATTTATCTACTTGCACTTGGGGGTGCTTTCGAACTGCTAGGTGGGCAGGAGCTGGGACCAAACGACGGGAGCTCACCCCTCCGCGGGGGTTCGAACCGCAAGTCCTAGGCACTGAGGTTTTACCCACAGCGCCACCCGCGCCCCTTAAGTTATCTTAATATATTTATCTAAATAATCTTTAAATTTCATCCATTCTTCCTTGTACTCCTCCTCCTTCTGGTCGCAGACTCTTCCAGTCAGGTCGGCCAGCTCCAAAAAATCCATCATCTTCATCTGCCAATCTTCCTGTATTTTCCAGTTCTTTGGTAACAAAATTCCTGCTGCAGATATTGTACAATTTTCAGCTCATTGTATATATAAACAAACTATCCATCTAGCTCAGACGATAGAATGCCCGACTCTACATCGCAGAATTGTGGGTTCAAGCTCCACACTGGGCAAAAGATTTCCTGAACTGCAGGGCTTTGTATTAGATGGTTCTTGAGGTCCCTTCCAATTCTACAATTCTGTGATTCTTCTGTGATTCTATGAAACACAGTGATAGATACCCGTTGGTTAAAATATAACGTGTGTCACCCTGAGTGTGAGAAATTGCCGTCAGAACTAGTAAACTCAACTCTTAAGAGGTCAAGAGTGAACTGTTTTCTCAGACTTACCTAAGTCAGGTCCCCTCATCATTCTCTCCCATGATGTGAAGTTGACCAGGCAACAAGCCCAGGCCTCGTACTCTTAAGTATTTTTCTGTATTTGGTAACACAGGAAGTTTCTGCATGTGTTCCTCTTGCTGAATCTGACCAAGAAATAATCTGACCTTTGGAGTTTGTAAGTAAAGCATTTAAACTTACTAATGGTGTGGTCTGTTCATTGCGAGAGGGGTAGAGGCGGGGGGTGGGGGCTGTAAGTGGACCAAATGGGATAATGTATTAAAAGGATCTAACACTTCACTGTTGCACATTTTATGACTTTTAAACTCTGCTGGGGCTCCGTTACTGGAGAGTGTGTTTAATCCAGGGCTTTGGCTCTAGGGATACAGCTAAGTCTTCTATTAATTACCCCAAATGTGTGATCTATATTTTCCCGCCACACTGTGCTCATTGGAGGAAGAGGGGGAATTGCAAGGGTTGGGGGGGTCAAACCTGTTGTTTTCTGCATGAGGCACATGTGTATCAGTCCCCATAAATATGGTGTTTTGTACATTACACAAATGCTGTTAAGTCGTGGGTTGACATAGCAGCCGGCACAGCGATTTCTTCAAGTAGCTCTTTATTCTGGTAAGCTGGAATAGAACTGACTGCGAACAGCTCAGCCGGCCTGTATTTATAGGCAGCCAGCTGTCAACATTGTAACCACAACAGCCCAGAGTTCCCGCCTAAAATAACTGGCGCGGACCTGAGTGAAAACTATCTACAGACCTGAGTGAAAACTATATACAGTATCCCCCTGTTGGCCCAGGGTGAAACTACACTACATAACACCCCTCCCCACCGAGATAAGGCGTTAGTTACAATCGTAATGGTTTCCTTATATACAGCACTACGCGTAATGGTTCAATTAGGCACAAAAGCATATCGGTTACATTTCCCATACTTAGACCAACAGTGATACCTGTCCAACAACATAGTCCTTTAAATGAGTTGGGCGCTTGGAAACTCTGCCAGACCGCCGGGGACTGGTAGCCAAGTCCGGAGGGCCACACAGTTCTCGCTGAGGCTGTGGTGCGACCCTAGGTGGCGTTGGAACCAACTCCCCTGGATCCGCTGCTGAGAGTGGAGCCTCCGCAAGTGGAGTGGTCTGAGTCTGTTCTGAAACGGCTTGGTTCGGCTCCATGCTGGCAGTTTGCGAGGGAGGTGTAGGTGGGGCCTCGCCATCTGTACGTGTCTCTTCTGGAGCCGCAAGCGCAGTTGGGGGCACCTCGGTAGTGTCCAAGTCCCCAACCCTGCGCCTAAGCTGGTCTATGTGCCGTCGCCACAAGCGTCCGTCTTCGAGTGCCACCTGGTACGAGCGAGGTCCAGTGACTCCCACTACTGTGGCTGGCACCCAAGGGATGTCCCCCACATAGTTCCGGGCAAAGACCTGGTTTCCCGGGACGAATGACCGTGGTGCGTTGGCACAGCCTGGGGGTTCAGCCACGGCAAAGTCTGGGTGTAGCCGGTCGAGCGGTGACCTGAGGCGGCGGCCCATAAGCAGTTCCGCAGGACTCCTCCCTGTGGCCGCATGAGGGGTGATGTGTTGCGCGAACAAGTATTCGGCGACCCGCTCATGCCAGTCTCCCCGGTCCAGGCGCACCAGTGCCTCTTTTGTCGAGCGCACCATTCTTTCCGCTTGCCCGTTGCTGGATGGATGAAAGGGTGCCGTTAGGGCATGGCGGATGCCCAGTCCCAAAAGATACCGCTCAAACGTGCCTGACGTGAACTGCGGTCCGTTGCCAGAGACAAGGACATCAGGACACCCATGCGTTGCAAACAGGCCTCGCAGCACCCGGATGACAGCTTCGGTAGTGGTGGAGGGCATCAGGGCGACCTCCAGCCATTTGGAATAGGCGTCCACCACTACCATAAAGGTCCGGCCGTGAAAGGGGCCAGCCAGATCTATGTGCACCCTCGACCAGGGTGTCTTTGGCGTCTCCCAGGTGTGTCCCTTAGCTGCCGGTGGTGCAGGCCTCGACTCCTGGCACGCTTGACAGGCGGACACCCAGGCAGTGATGGCATCGTCCATATTAGGCCACCAGACGTAACACCGAGCCAACGCCTTCATTTTGACAATTCCCGGGTGGCCAACGTGCAGAGCCTCCAGGACGCGCTGACGGAGTCCCTGGGGAATCACGACGCGGTCTCCCCACAGCAGACAGCCGCGATGAGCTGAGAGTTCATGTTGTCTGGTTGCGAAGGGCTGGAACTCCGATGCAAAGGGCCCTTGTGGCCACCCCCTCCACACCCAGTTGAGCACCCGGCTGATGGCGGAGGCCACAGTGGCAGCCGATACAGGCGCTGCCGGAAGATCCTCAATCAGAAGGAGCGATGAAGCTGGAGCCGGGTCTTCCACAAATGCTGGAAGAGGGCAACGGCTGAGGGCGTCGGCATGGCCCATCGATTTCCCCGGGCGATGGATGAGCCGGTAGTGGTAGGCAGCCAGGAAAACAGTCCATCGCAGCATGCGTGGTGAGAGGACCGGTGGAGTTGGACGATCACCGGCGAGGAGGCCCAGGAGTGGCTTGTGGTCAGTGATGAGGTCAAAAGTCCTGCCATAGAGGTATTCATGGAACCTCTTCACTCCAGCCACAAGTGCCAATGCCTCCTTGTCGAGCTGGCTGTAATTCCGTTCCGTCGGAGATAGTGTCCTGGAAAAGTAGGCGAGCGGTGCTTCTCTTCCATCTGGAAAACGGTGACTAAGGACAGCACCGATGCCAAAAGGTGAGGCGTCGCAGGCAAGGACCAGCGGCCTGGATTCACTGTACTGTACCAGCACACTGTCTGAAGAAAGGAGAGCCTTGACCGCGTTGAAGGCCGCCGTCTCCCGATGACCCCAGGCCCAAGGCATCTTAGTGCTAAGAAGTCGGTGAAGAGGCTCAGCCACTGTGGCTTTGTGGGGCAGGAACATGTTATAAAAGTTCAGCAGCCCCAGGAACGCCTGCAACTCCGTTTTGTTCTTTGGAGTGGGGGCCTGCTGGATAGCGCGGATCTTGGATGTGGTTGGATGAAGACCGGAGGCATCGATAAGATAGCCCAGGAACTCTACCTGTGGAACGGCGATCTGGCACTTCTCCCTCTTTACCTTGAGCCCGGCCTCCTGGAACCTGGTCAGCACGGCACGGAGGCGCTCGAACAGCTGCTGGTGTGAGTCTGCAGACACCAAGACGTCATCAAAATATGGTACCACGCCCGGAAGCCCTTGCAGGAGACGCTCCATAAGGCTTTGGAAGATGCCAGGAGCCACACTCACCCCGAACTGCAACCGGCGGCAACGGAATGCCCCCCGGTGGGTGACGATCGTCTGGGCTTCAGCAGTGGCATCATCGACTGGCAGTTGTTGATAGGCTTGGGCAAGGTCCAGCTTAGCGAAGACCTTACCCTCACCCAGGGAATGCAGCAGGTGTTGGACAACAGGAACCGGATAAGCGTGCTGCTGAAGTGCCTTGTTGATCGTGCACTTGTAGTCAGCGCAGATTCTCACCGACCCATCTGGCTTGACAGGCGTGACGATGGGGGTTTCCCACTTTGCGTGGTCAACCGGCTCCAAAACTCCTTGGGCGATCAGTTTGTCCAGTTGTTCGTCCACCTTAGCCTTGAGAGCAAAGGGAACCCGGCGTGGCTTTAGCTTGATGGGGGCGACTTGTGGATCAAGGCTAAAGGAGATGGGCGTACCTGTATATTGGCCCAAGGTGCCGTCAAAAACCTCGGCAAAGTCTTTGACCAGACCCTCAGTCTCTGCGTTAGAGATGCAGTTGATGCCGGTGACTTCCAGGCCGAGGGCATCAAACCAGTCTAGCCCTAGGAGGCTTGGCCGCTGACCTTCGACCACCACCAACCGGAGCAGGCCCGAAAAATCCTTGAAGGCGATCCGGAACCGGCCAACGCCTACCACGGGAATGTCGTTTCCCTGGTAGTCTCTCAGGTGTACGCAGTGAGAGTCGAGTTGCCTTTTGGACACTCTGGGTACCAGTCTTTTGATGGTGCTCCATGACACGATGGACAGGGCAGACCCGGTGTCGATCTCCATGTCACATGGAGCTCCTTCAATGAGCACCGTGACGTTCAGCTTGCGTCGCGTAGGCGAGTCGGTTTGACCAATCGTGGTTCCAGACGGGCAGCGGCAGTTGGTGAGAGCGAAACAACTTTCCTTGGCAGACTGGAGTGAAGACTTGGACTTGCGAGTCGATGAAGGGGGGGTGTCAGACGGAGCCGATCGGCAGACCTTAGCGATGTGGCCCCTTCTGGAACACTTCCTACAGATGGCGTCTCTGAATCGACACTTGGCACGGGAATGGTTGCCTCCGCAGCCAGCACATTCCGGTTGGCCCTTGGACTTCTGTTGGAACTTCCTGCGCTCCCGCTTTGTCTGGTGCACATCATCGTCTTCACTGGAGGATGCCTCATCACTGCTGGCCTCTTCATGATGCACCGGAACTGGCTCCCTAGCAAGACGCGGGCTGCTGGACTTGCGGATCTCCTGGGCGGAGCGTTCAGCAGCTTCTGAGGCCACAGCCTCCTCAATGGCTTTCTGTAGCGTGAGGTCTGGCTTGGCTAGGAGGCGCCGTTGCAGATGGATGTCCCGGACCCCGCAGACGATTTGATCCATCAGGGCATCGTCTAAGTCTCGGAACTCACAGTGCATTGCAGCCTGTCGCAGGGCGGTGGTGTAGTTGTTGATTGACTCCCCCTCTGCCTGGTTCCGGTGGTAGAACGCATGGCGGGCAGCAATCTTGGACGGCTTTGGTGCGTAGTGGTTGCGGAGCTTCTCTTGGATCGTGTCCCATGGTGTTGCCTGGACTGCTTCAGGCGCAACCAACGCTCGGGCCGTCTCAAACACCTCAGGCCCACAGAGGCTGAGGAATAGGCCCCGCTTCCGATCCTTTGATACTGCTGTCAGCTCGTTGGCTTGGAGGTAGCAGTCGAACCGAGCGAGGTAGGAGTCCCATGATTCAGAGGCTGGCGCAAACGGCGGTAGAGGCACAAGTGAAGCCATGATTCCGATGCCGGCGTGAAGGGCGATGGATGGAACACAGTGCTCTAGCCAGAACAGTCAGCTCTGAATTGGTTCTGCCCAGTGATTTCGCTCTGTGATTCAGCTCAGTGATTCAGCTCAGTTCAGAGGCTGGCCGCATCTGGCTGTGCTCTGATGTCCATCTATCCCATCCTCGTCGCCAGTGTTAAGTCGTGGGTTGACATAGCAGCCGGCACAGCGATTTCTTCAAGTAGCTCTTTATTCTGGTAAGCTGGAATAGAACTGACTGCGAACAGCTCAGCCGGCCTGTATTTATAGGCAGCCGGCTGTCAACATTGTAACCACAACAGCCCAGAGTTCCCGCCTAAAATAACTGGCGCGGACCTGAGTGAAAACTATCTACAGACCTGAGTGAAAACTATATACAGTATCCCCCTGTTGGCCCAGGGTGAAACTACACTACATAACAAATGCCAACTGACGTTTGCCCGTGAAGTGTCTTTATCATGCATTTTGTGCTTGTAAATAGCATTTTTACTTT